AAAAATTAGCATACAACATAAATATTCCAACTGCAGTAGAGGTAATAATAATGATAGCATCTATCTGTCTGCATCTAGTACAAATTGGTATAACTCACGTGACAAAATAATTATTATTATCACTCTAACACAGTCTCAAAGTTAGTGCTTTTATGTACACTGGGAAGTACAATGCAAGTCAAAAGTGTTTGGACAGTGAACAATCTTCAGTATACCTGCTACATTTACAGGTATCTTACATTTATATGCATTTATATAAATAGGTAGTGTGCATGGTTATCCATACAAATGCCGCCTGTACACAAGTTCCATGCACTGAATTGTACTAATTTGTAATGTAACATGTACATCTTATCTACAGATGCAGACCTAACTCTGTGTGTGTGTGTGTGTGTGTGTGTGTGTGTGTGTGGGGGGGGGCAGGGGAGGTGGAGGTAAGCGCACACACACATTACAAACATCGCACACAGTTAGCTCCTCACTCAAAAATACTCTCTGCACGTCCCTCTAAAGAACACTCGACATTTTCTTTGTTTTACTGCAGACGATCGACGACATGGAAGCTCAGCGACTTAAGATCTGTTTTCCCGTCACACTGCAGCAAAGAGCTCTACATCGTGACTGATCAAGCTCAGACAGGAAGCAGGAGGAATACTTTGATAATTTGCCGACTACAGTTAGGGTTCCACTTAACAAATCTTTTCCGAGCGTCTTTTAATTTACTGTCTATTATCGACTTAACCTCAGAGGGCACGATGAAGTTACCGTTTAAGGACGCTACACGCCGCTTTCTGACAAACATTCTGCAGCGTTTGCGGTCAGTTCAACCAGATTCACTAACATCTGAGCGAGGCTAAAAACATGAAACTTTCCAGAAACATCAATATTTCCAGATATTCAGTAAGTTAACTCAATTCAGGTGTTTTCAGACGAACTAAGATCCAGTTCCAGGGAAAGATTTAATGTTTCGCTCATATTACCAGAAATGATAATTAATTAATTAAACTGCAGATTATTGATCGCTGTCTCTAAATGGCGACCCCCGATTTTCCTCAAAGTAAAAACTGCAGTGAGGCATAACGTCTCTTCCTGCCAACCACGTGTCGACATTTTCTCCTGCTGAAGTCATTGAACTGTTCTGAACACCCGAGATCAAATCGTATAATCAATCAATCATATCTCCTGATCAAAATTCCGACGTTCCTTCCAAGACTTAAAGGCAGTGGGAGTTCGTCTCGTCAGCTCAACAAAAAATGCGTGTTTGTTAATTGCATTTACAGAATTTTATCATACAAAAAAAGAAATTCAAGAAACTTCCCTTTGGTCGCCGCGCCCCCCGCTCCGCCGCCCCGCCCCGCTGAACGTATGAACCACTGACAAAAAAAAAAACAAACTGGGTTACAATTTACGTTATTACATAGTTACAGTGGTTTTAAAGCGCAAGTGGAAGCTCCAAAACTTCGCCAGTTCGATACAAACGAAAAAACTAACAAAAAAAAAAAAAATAAAATAAAACACTGTCGCTCACTTAAACCTAACAACCTGAAGTCTCGGCTCAAACCTAATCTCAACTGCCAACAGGAACCCTCAGTAACCGCCCGCACAAAGTCAACACTGTGCAAGGATTCAGCGCGTTACGAAATGAAAAGAAGTCTTTTTTCTTTTTTAAAAACTTTCGACTTGTTTAGTTCGTAACAGCCTCGTTTAATTCTCTCTCGACGTTTTTTCTTTTTTTTGATGTTTTTTCTCGCGTTCCTGTCAACTCTTTAAAGTGGAAGAGGTTACAGGATCTTAATACTCGTGTGTTCTGCTCATTAAAAACGTTTCCTCTCTTTCTTTCCTCGTGTGAAAGATTCGATCCCCGGCACCAGAAACAAAGGAGACTTTAAATTACACTTTTAAAACCGGTTTTCTTTTTTAACGATCGATTACTTTCTTCGTCTATGAACCCGAAAATAAAAACCCCCTCTCCTCTCTTCTCTTAATGGTTATGTGTTTCTGTACCTTTGTTTGTTTTTTGTTGTTTTGTTGTACGACGCAACCGTCCTCCAGGAGGAGGATCCAGTAGGAGAGGTAGAGCCGTTAGAATGGAGAAAGTGACCGACGTCTCGGCTGAGCTCCGTCGCTCCCCGCCCGCCCCCGGGCCCCTCCTCAGGGCGGCTGTTCCTGACCCATCAGACGGGGCCCGGACCTCAGGCCCCGCCTCCGTAGCCCCCCTGACGATGAGGAAGAAGAGGGAGACGGAGGGGAAAGAGGGGATGGGGAGGGTGGAGGCAGAACCAGGATGGGGGAGCGGGGGTGAGAGGTGGTGTGGTGGTGGTGGTGGTGGCTCTGGGAGTGGATGGGGTAAGCTACGGTGCCCATCTCCGCCCACACCACTCCTGGGCCGCTCAGCGCTCCTGTGTACGCGCTCGAGGTTGTCGCGGTACGGCTGCGGCGTTGTCTGGTGGTTTGGGTAGTTGCTGGGGAGTGTTGCTGCTGCTGCTTGGTGATGATGGTGGGGAGGGAGGAGGAGGAGGACGACGAAGAAGGAGTGGCCCCTGCCGCTCTTGTGCAGCTCGCTGTCCCTGCCGAGGCCGTGGGAGGAGGTGATGGACTCTGCACGGCTGAAGCCGCCTCCTCCCCCCCCTCCGTGGTTCTGACTGCGCCAGGACGGAGTCGCCACCGAGTTCTGGACGCTGTGGCTCCAGTGGCTGCCCGAGCGCGGGACGGGCCGGGAGTGCCAGCCGCTGGAGCCGAGGAGGCTGGTCGGTAGCCTGGTGAAGCCTTCGGCGGATGCCGTTCAGCGCCATGAAGCCCAGACGCATGCTCTCCGAGTCGAAGGCCTCGATCTCGTGAGCCTGGCGCTCGAGCAGAGTCCGGATCCGCTCTGAGCGCTCGTTCTGCAGAGAGAGCATCTCCTCCTCGATCTGACAACAGACAATCCCACTGTCAGTGAACACAACACAACAACTTCTTCTACAGCTGGAAACATTAACGGATTAAGTTATTGACCCTTATTTTCAGTTACTCCTTTATTGGCTCTCTGGTTCCGGCTGTCAGTGTGAGGATGTGGTGCTTTTTACTGTGGGACGAATCAGAAGTTGCTTTGGGCTCTGTATGAAATCTGAAATCCTACGGTGGAAACACGAGGCAGAACTGAACCTCACAAGGTTCTTTAAAGTTCAGGGTTTGGGTCATTAATGGAACAGAGCTTTAGTGTGAACATGGTCTCACATTAACCTACACTGGTTGTGTCAGTCAACAGTCAACCAGCAGCAGAACATCACAGAAACGTACCCTTTGCTCCAGCAGCGCCCGGCGGATCGACACCCTCTGCTCCAGGTCCTTCACCTCTCGCTCGTGCTGCGTGTCGGTGTGGATCTTGATCTTGCTCTGGTAGGCGTTCAGGAGCTCCAGCTCCTGTTGCAGCTGCATCCGCAGCACCTGGTACTCGGCCTCCTGGGTCTCATCCAGCCGCAGCTGTGGGAACAAACGGGGACGAGCGTCGTATCAGTACAGCACAATAATAATAATAATAATAATAATAATAATAAGATAATTATCTTTATTAATCTGATGTAAATGTGCGACTGTATTTAGAGGTTTCCTTCCCTTCTTTAAGAAACAGAAACATAATGTTTCACTGAGGAGCTCAATCACCACTACTGCTCATATGGGTTACGCCTCTAACTGTGTTTGGTGGCGGCCCACCACGGTCTCATTCGTTCCACCACAGTTTCACAATGGAAATATTTATAACGTTGAGTTTTGTGCCGTTGCTTCAGAAAAGCATCTCTTACTCCCAGTGCAAATATTAACTTCGTGGTTCTCAGATCAGAAGCCTCTATAAAGGAGGTACAGTACAGTGTCTGATCTATGAGGAAAAACCCTAAAATGGTTCATTTCAAATGAAGCATCCGTCCCTGAATCGAGGTTCCCGCTCTCAGGACAGCGTTTGGCTCCCAAACGGTCCTATAATTACCGGCAGGCCTCATATTGACTCAGGGTTCACAATGAATATGCTCCACGTTAGCTTGGCTGTTCTCACCGCAGCGTAAGTGTTTGTTACAATTAACATCGCTGTGCATCTGTTTGACAACCACAACAACAAATCTGATAATTAAAAGACTGTTTGCATGTAGATGTGACTGTTTACAGCATCTCCAACGAGCTTCTCTGAGCTAAACTGAGTCCTGGTGCGAACAGCTGGTTCAACTGGGAACAGTTTTAGGATTAAACTGTTTAACGCTCTGTCTGTGATGACGAGCAGGCTGAGGCGCTGCTGGTGATGAAGGCGCTGCTGGTGATGAAGGTGCGGTGGATGTGTAGGGGTGTAGAAGTGTGGAAGGTGCGCGGAGGTTTCCTTGCCTTACTCACAGCCTGTGTGGACAGCATGTCGTTGATGGAGTGGTCGTACTGCTCGGCCAGGATGGCCAGCTTACGTGTTTGCTCCTCTTTGAGGCGTTTGAGGACGGCCTTGTGGTCGGATTTGGGAGTGCTCTCCAGCAGGTGGTTCCTCAGGGCTTTGTACTGGCGGGTCTGGATCTTACAGGTCTCCTGGAACTGACGCTTGATCTGCAGCTCTTTGGACTGAAAACAGGTTTTAGAAACAATCAGAGAACATCAATGTAACACGCTGAATATTATAAACTAAAATACATTTTGGAGATTATGATGATACCACCAAGGTTCTCCTCCATACCTTGAGGCTCTTGGGCTGCTGCCGGACCTCCATGGCGTGTTTCTGTCGGAGCTCTTGTTCGCGGCGCTTGTTGTACTCCATCTGGTTGGTCAGTTCGGTCTGGTGTTGCGTTCGGATCAGATCGGCCCGGGTTCGCTGCACGGAGCTCAGCTGCCTGAACTCCAGCTCCTGCGTGGACTCGTGGTGCCGCAGCAGCATGGCGCACTCCAGATCCTTCTGGGTCTGCTTCTTGTTCAGGTCCTGGTGGAGGACGAGACAGAGGTGAGCAGAAATCCAGGAGGAAGGAGAGGAAGAGGAAAATACAGGTGAGTTCATCTGAACACGGAGCTGCCGTACCTCTCTGAGCAGGTCCTGCTCCAGGTTGTGGCGAGCCAGCAGCATCTTCCTCTTGTACTGGCGACACTGCAGCTCGTAGTACTGCCTCTGCCTCCGGAGCAGGCTGGCCTCCTCCTCCGCCTGCATCTGCTGCAGACACTCCTTCTGACGGATCAACCACTCCTGCTTCTCCCGCTTCGGAGTCGACTGGTTCTCACTTAGCTCCTGAACGGACACAAAAAATAAGTAAAAACACACACAAAAGAGGCGACGAATGACAAAACTGGGCATCAAATATGCAAAAATATCAACGTAACAGACACACAGTAACTGTTCTACTGCAACCTGAACTCATCACACTGTATGTCTGACTGAAGGAACCAAAACTAACCATCAACGTTAGCTTTCTGAACGTCTCTGGTTACAAATATATTTGTGGGAAAAGTCTTGTGCTACTGTTGGAACCGTGAATTAGTTAATTTGCTGCATCGCATGTAGTTCAATTTAACTCCTAGTTAAGGACAAAAAAAGCTTTATAATAGGACTGAAATGTGTTTTAAAGATGCTTCCAGCAGACATTTGAACCCTGCAGGGAGACCAGCGTGTTTGGTTGGAGGAATATTTGAATCCGTTATCAACATTAGATATGTGAGTAAGTGTTGGCCGTTACCTCTTTCAGCTGATCCTTGCGCTGGCGATACTGGCGTTTCTGTGAGTCCAATAAACTGGTCAGTTCCTTCTTCTGCTGGCCCAGTATGTGCTGCTGGAACTTCTTCTCTTCTGCTAGAGCTGCTTTCGTCTGCAGGACACAAACCGAGGCTGGGTGAGGGGTCTGATACTGATCCAGCAGTTATTGTTGATACATGAAGCTCTGAAGTCTCACCTCTTTCTCCAGGATGGCCTGGTGCTTCTTGACCAGCTTGTCGGCTTCAGTGGAGAAACTGTTCCTCTGGTTTTCCAGCTCTTTGTCCAGTTTCAGCTGGTGCTCGTCCATCTCCGCCTTCAGCTTGTTCTCCAGCCCCATCAGCTGCTTCTGGTGCTGCCGCCTCATACGTTTGTACCCGGACATCTGCTCCCTCAGCGCCGAGCCCTGCTCGTGTTCCTGGATCTGACGGGTTACCTGGAGAGGGGGGGAGAAACAGATGAGTTCAGGTGGCCAGTAGAAGTCTGTGAAAGGAAGGAATGTATCTGCAGCTGAAATACTGCAGTTTATTTTCACACAGCTTTATCTGCATACATTATGAGACCAAAGAGACAAACTTTAGAAAGTTTCTTCATCAAATGGAGCTTCATTCGTGATGTTCTTAAAAAAAACTCAAGGAGTGCCCTTTTGAAATCTTTAACCTATTTCAGTGTAGTCCTGAACTAACTATCAGCGGGAAAAGCACAGGTGGATCGTTAATTGCCGTCATCCAATTACATATCTTTGCATCTACGTAAACTAACATATTCCACGGATCTTGACATTTCTGGTGAAGTATTTATGATTTATGGGCTTCTTTCCTCGCACCAGTAGCCATGTTTCATGTTACACAGACTCAGTCAGAACCCCAAAAGCCCATTTATTGTTTACAACCCTCCATCAACCCTGGAGAAGAATAAAATCCTCACATTAAATCTGCAAAACATTACCCAAAGATTCATTAGGACATTACTTCAATCAGTTCATGTAACTACTGAATATAAAGTCTTAACTGTCCATGTAAACTACTGCAGTCATTAACAGCCCATAAGCAGCTCTTCTTTGCTCCTCCAGGCCTTAGACTGGGAAGCAAAAAAACAAAAACAAAAAACCCAACATCTCTGTTGATAGCACACAACGAGCTGCGAGGAGGAGGAGGAGGCCTGATGAGGGAACCTACCAAGGAGGCGGTTCGGATGGTGGCGAAGTGGTCGCGGTTGCGATAGTAGGCTCGACGGCGTCCAGCTGAGGGAGCCTGAGGTTGGTCCATCTCTGGCTGGTAAGGGTCATCATAGATGTTATCCTGACCCTGAGGAGGAGGAGGAGGAG